AGATATAACCTGACATACAAGTACAGCGTGCCATATATTATTTGTTCACACACAGGAAACCCTCTAAATTCTTTGCGAGTTATGTCAACCCTAAATTCTTTCACGTATATATGTCATTCCTCGCAGCGGAAGTCAATGCGACGGCGTACTGTCCGAGTGCATACTTTGAACCTTTATACATCTCCTCATTCCAACGGTACATCATGGGAATGCCGAAATCTAAAAAGTTTGGAACAGAATCAGCGAACTTCTTTGTGTAGAGTCCGGTCAAACCCTGGTGACAGCCATGTTTGTTTTTATTATTAGAGGACGTGTACGCGTGTAATCATATTATATTTAGAATGGAATATGGTATATTAATATGGTAAGATAAAAATACATCGAAATTACGGCACGCTGTAACTACGGTGACAGATGTATAATAATAATAATAATAAGTATCCTGCCGTGAGATGATAGTTTGTCAGTTTCTGAGCCAAAATAACATGCAAACAAATTATTTGTCGCATAACATTGAAAGTAGACGTTCTTAGACAAACAAGACGACTTCTTCTGGTATGCAGATATAAAAAAACATGCAGTTAGTGTGAGAATTGCATGTAGTTTTCCCACGAATATTCCAATAAAATTGTGATTCAGTAGATTATCACATTCAAATTCAAATTTAAAGTAAATATTTCTTTCGCAGCTGACAGACTGCCAAGTCCGAGACGGCAGCATGTTCTTTGTTTGTGTATGGAGTTAGTGATTCGTTGACATATTCAATGAAACCCCAGCAATGGGTTTCCGATCACAATATCAATTTACTAAATGCATGAAATCTGGGTTTGTATATTCCAGTATGCGCTACCCTCAGCACACACTAAGGGTCGGATCGTTCATAATACATATTAGAATTGATCGTTCGTCACTGAGCGCATGCGTTATACTGTCAGTTGTTTATCTCCAAACATCGTGACTATTGGTACTTGAACGACAAATGTGATGTGAATTATATTTTGTGAAATTCCAACGACATATAACCATTACGGAAACGTACATATAATTACAAATGCCAGGTATGTGTTTTTCGTTTAGCCGTCCAATAGGCATGTTAACATGTTCATCAGCTACATTTATATTTGAAATCTAAACAGTAATTTTACAACAATGCATTGGCCTTATTATTTTACAGCGATTGATTTTAACATAATGATATAGTGGATAATATACAGAGTGGCTTCTACGAAGACTTTTTTGGTAGCATCATCCGACACGTGATTAAATTGATAGCCGTGTGCCAGTAGTGTCAGTATTGAATTATATTTTTAACTTCAACATTACAGAGTGTAATCCCTCTGTACGGTGGATTGGTGGTATACACATCGTTGATAAATGCCATATATAGGACTGATTTATGCTCTTCTTGAAAATTACAGTCACATTTATTGGATCCATGATACGAAATTTACTGAATAATGTTATTGCTGAGTATATCATGGGGATATGAGAGTTAGCCATTTTCCGGTCACATAGCTTTATGATGTTCACAGAAACGTGTATAATTCTATACGCCATTTTGACTTCATCTAAAAATATACTCATCCGTAATAAGTGTTTTTAACAGGAACAAAACGCATAAATAGTACGTTTTTGAGAAATATTCGCAACAATTAAAATACACAAAAATTAAAATTACAAATTGAGAATTAGTGTGTTTTAATATAGTTATTGACGCATCATTACTATGTTAAATGCATTTTTTTAAATATCCAACGTAACATATATTAGTATATAGCAATAATCCACCAATAGATCAAGTGGGAATTAAAGGGTCAGTTTGAAATCATAGGAAGTCGGATTTTAAAATATTGTCCTAAAACTTTATACAATAATGCCCGATATTTTGTTCTAAGGGTACAATATCATTCGAGCTTTAATATATCATAATTTTACATTTTGTCACAAACAGACAAACAAACAAGCCGGTAGATTGATTAGCAATGCGTTGGGGACACTGACTTACCTGTCAAGTGTGAACGTGATCGGTTAGCCAGAAACACACACAGAAGAGTTGTGGATACAAAGACAGACACAGACAGCTATCTCATAATTTCACAGTTTGTGAATCGACTGACAGAATCAGTTCGACAAATAACAACAAAATGATATGCAATTAATAATACAAACGAATATGAACACCCATCCCTTAAATTAATTATATATTACGAATATAAAACATAAAAAACGGTAGCGTAGATTCATAAATGCGAATCACTACTTAACTAAACAATATGATACACCACCAACATGAAAGTTACGTTCCTTTTTTTAAACACTTAAAGAATGAATAAGGACGTAACTTTGTAATCCCAAGAATAGTAATTATTCCCGTAGTATATAGGTTTCCAATGTAGAATGAAACATAAAGTTATGCGATAATGATCATTCATTAAAATTGTCGTGACAAGAAAATGACAAAAGTCATCACATATTGCATGCCTGGTTAACACAAAATCGACAAATCATACACAAGCTGCCATTGCTATATTATTCTCACGGTGGTCGCTGCGTATAATAAACAACAAATCATGTTTTTCTGCAAATTTAATATCTTCAGATTCCTGAGGACAAATATTTGTACTTCTGTTTTCAACAAATAAAAGATGAGTTCCGAAGAAGAATCAGGAAATGAGCCGCCCAAAAAGATGACATTGTGCGAGAGGTATATAAATGTTTTTGTAAATGTTCATTCATTCATTCATTCATTCATTCATTCATTCATTCATTCATTCATTCATTCATTCATTCATTCATTCATTTATTTATTTATTTATTTATTTATTTATTTA